ACGGCTGAAAGGGCGAGCATGTTTGGTGTGACGGGGATTCGAACCCGCGACCCTCAGACTGCGAGTCGAGCGCCCTAACCACCTGGCCATGCCGGGCATAATGGTGCTTACTGTATCTTCAAATGCTACATTCTATATTAAGTCTATCAGCATTTTTCGGAGAAGAAGAGTGTATAGTAGTATTTCAATCACAATGGGTCTAGAGCTCATTTGTTTGTTTTTATTAAGTACAAAGTTATACAATGGGCTATCTCTGCTGTGTCAATCGCGAGTATTGAAACCGATTTTTCAGACTTTCAAGTCCTCAAACGTATCACTGAACCATGGGGAGACAATACCAGAACTTGTCAAACCTTCTGGGATACAGAAAACATAGTATTTGTCAGAACGCTATTTATATAAGGGATTTGTTAGAATAACAATTGTTATTGTGTGAACGCATTTTGTTTTCTTTTTATAAACTAATGAAGCATGAACTATAATCAGTCATATTTGTAATAGTATTAGTATTATTGTGCTTTTAAACACTACGCTCTTCATTGAGTCTCTTTGGGATTTCTAGAGAAAAAGGGTGTATAACAGTATTTTAAACACTCTGTGTTCGTCGTATCCATTGCATTTGGATGACACATTTCACTCAGTACCAAAAGTCACTAGGCCAATTTTGACACAACAAACATTCTGAGCAAAACCCGTTTTTGCAATGGATATAATGGACATAGGTGTGGTTGAAATCCTATCATACACTCTTCTCGGCCCGGCATGGCCAGGTGGTTAGGGGCGCTCGACTCGCAATCTGCGGGTCGCGGGTTCGAATCCCCATCACACCAAACATGCTCGCCCTTTCAGCCGTGGGGGCGTTATAAAGTGACGGTCAATCCCACTATTCGTTGGTAAAAGAGTAGCCCAAGAGTTGGCGGTGGGTGGTGATGACTAGCTGCCTTCCCTATATCTTACACTGCTAAATTAGGAACAGCTAGCGCAGATAGCCCTCGTGTAGCTTTGCGCGAAATTCAAAAACAAACAAACACTCTTCTTCTCGGATAACCCCTAGGAACCGAATATAGATTGTAGTATTTAAAAATACAATAGGCTTAATATTATTTACAAATATAAATGATTTTAAATGTTTGGAGCCAGCAGAAAAAAAAAACGATTTCTTTGAATATCACAGTTTTAAAATGTTTGTTTTAATGTACTGCTTAAAAAATTCGCACATTTTTTTAATATTCACCCAAAAATAATTTATAAAACTCTCATTACATTTAATCTTCAGTAAAGAGGAACGATAGGGGATTTATTGAAGCGCAAAGCTGCCCAATTGGATACGCTGTGCCCCTTGCAAAAATCGAATCCTGAATCTTGGTGTTATAAGCTGTCAAACTTACCGCTGAGTCACCATGCGGCACAACTGTAGAAATTAAATATGTTATGTGAAAATTCTGTGTGGTGCCTACAAAATTATAAGACTAAGAAAAAATTATAGTCATCTACATAATTCCTTTCCATTCATACTTGTATATTAATAGTATTACTTACTTTTAAGACCTCATGACTTATGTTATCTTAAATTTAATTGTTTTCGTTATAATTTTCATAAATATTGTTACTTTCATACATTTCTTACATTGTCAGTTAATACCGTGAGTTAACTTAATAGTGGTAACTAATTTTAATGTTTGTATTTTAAACTCATATTTTATCAGCAAAAATGTTACACAAAAGACGCAGTGCGTACACTTGATGTGTTTGAGCTCATATGTTTGAGAAAAAAATACACTTCACATTGTAGCTACAAATTAAATATATAGTTTTGTTTTTAAAAAAGATATTTACGGGTATGTAACAATTTTTTTCTTAAAAATATGACATTTTTAGTAATCGGTTTAGTTTCTAAGTCATTTATCAAATATATTTTGGAGACGGCTTAAATAGATAGTGAAAGAAACGTTATCACAAATGTATTACGTTTCAAAAAGATTTTTTAATCAGTAGGTACAGTCAGTTTACATAGATATAGTTTACCAGAGAAAATGTTATAATAAACCTAACTCAATTTTTTCATTAAATTTTCACTTTAGTAAAAATATCATAAAAAAGGAATTTGAGGGTCATTTTGACTGAAACTTAGTCCACATGGTCTTTTCCATATAATTCTGGACTTACAACGCTAGAAACCGGGTTTCAATACCCGTGGTGGGCAGAGCACAGATAGCCCACTGTGTAGCTTTGTGCTTAATTACAAACGTACAAAGTTTCCACTTCTTTTTTGACGTGCTGCCATCTAGTATCGAAAGATATATATGTGTGAAAATTATCAACTGTTTTTTAGAAAACTTTCTTTGTCTTTTGATGAAATACATTTGCGTTTATTGGGATTACACGGGTTTCGACGCTTATTCAGTGAGATATTATTATTATTGTTTTTTATCACTTTGATTCGGCTATATCAAGAAACTTTCTTATCTTTTAAACCGTTATAATGTTAACACATAACTATCTATCGTGAAACCTTTGCACAGTTTCAGCGTGTCAGGTTGCAGTGCTAGTCCAACATGCCAGTTTTCCTTTTCTATTCATTCGCTGGCCCATCCATCCGTTTGCTTATGTGTATATATATATATATATATCGAATACTCATATAATTTTTTCATCATTCTAGTTTATTCTAGCTAGTCTTACAGCTGATACTTAATTTTTACTTTTTATAAAAGTAAAATACCACGTAACCTTTGGTCTAATAGATTACATTTCGAGGGTTTTGTTTTATTTCTGTTACTGTGCGTAACCAGCTAATTAAGTTTAGATATTTAAATTGCATGTACTGATTTTGTCTAGACATTTAGGAAGGCTGGTAAATATGGTGAGTTTTTTGTTTTTTTTATTTCGCGCAAAGCTACACGAGGGCTATCTGGCCTAGCCATCCCTAATTTAGCAGTGTAAGACTATAGGGAAGGCAGCTAATCATAACCACCCACCGCCAACTCTTGGGCT